GATTTTTTGGCTCCCAAGGACAGCGTTATATCGGGGTAGAGGTGTATGTTGCAAAACTGAAGTAATTAGAGTCAGGGTTTTTCTCCTCCCCAAGAACCTGCTATGATTTGAATGCTCTAGCTTTGTCCCTGTACTATGAAAATGGTACAAACTCTGAATTAGTAGCTTCACTTCACTAATGTATTAACAATTCCATATTCACTAACATCTTATGAGAGATGCTAATATAGAAAAGCTAACACCACATGGATATTTCATGGTATCCCAATACATTAGTCTGTTCTATTATCAAATTCGGTATTTTTACAAGTGAAGATGACCCTTGCTATTGTGAGAAAAGTTGCTAGTCATGAGGCATTGTGTAAAACTGTACTTGTTAATAAGTAAGAAACCATACCCCTGCTTCAATATACTTTCAAAGCCATCTAGACTCTCAGGAGCTATAAAACATTTAGATACTGCAGCAAATAAGATGTGACATGGAAAGGGGCCATGCCCCCATAGGAGTTGTGAAGGACAGTCTACCCTATTAAAAGGGCTCTCTCTGGTTCCAACTGCGATAACTACAACCATTGTGGACTCCAGGTTACTCAAAAACACAGATCTCCAGATGTTAATTTTTTTAAAATCAGAAGGTACGGTTAGTGTGTTTTGTAATTGAACCTCCAAGTTCTAATGCCTGCCCTGAGGCATTACAAATTTATAGCCTTGACGTCTTGTTTGTACCAAGCAGACTCTCAAAACACTTTGGTAAAGGTTACTAATATGTTAGCAAAGTAGCAATTTTTTAAATTAACTTTATAGCTGCAAGTACCAGTACAACTTTTATTTTCCCAATATTTGTAGAAACTTTCAGGTTTCAGGTCATGTCTCCTGATGGAAGCATACTAATTCACATCAGTATTGGTGCATATGTTTGAAGATGAGGATTGTGGTCATGAATTCATTACTACCATTATGATGCTTTTTCATTCTGAACATTGGAAATACACCAATTTCACATTGCGAGATAAATACAGACAGACAGCTGGCTTTAATGGTATTCACAGCTCTCACACAGATCAAACGTGCAAGCTATAGACAGAAATGTGATGACAATGTATGAAGTTGAATAAACACACACATTAAAAGAGGCCCCCTGACAACACATGGAGGGTGGTAATAAGAGGTGGTTACTTACCTGTAACTGGAGGTTCTTTGAAATGTGTGGTCCCTATTTGTATTCCAAACGTGCGTGCGCATGCGCACTATGTGCCAGAACCAGAAGGTTTTCTTAGCAGTACCCGTGACCCACATGTGCATCGTGCATCCCCTTGTGCTTGCAGAGAGGGTACAATAGGCCAGGTGGATCGACGCTTCGCCAATGACCCTCTTTCCAATGAGTAGTCCAGTCCACAGCAGAGG